CGCAACCGACTCGGGTACGCTACGCCGAGCTAGCAGTGGGCAGGCCTCCCGGAGGCCGGCGCCGCCGCCCGCTCGACACGACGCGCCAAGTACGCGCGCAGGCCGGCGGCGGCAAATTTTCGTGTTTTGATCATTTTTTAAAACCTATTCGATATTTGACTCTAGTTTGATTTTTTTTTTGAAATATGACCCTTTTGCTACCGTCAGAGTTCATAGCGGTAAGGTCAGCCCACCGCTAGAAACTTTGGCGATAGAAAACATCGCTACCGCCAATCGGACTGGCGGTAGTCTGCACAACCCTTGACGATAGATACGAGCACGCACTGTGTTCAATACTTAGGAGATATTTGACGAAATGGCATGCAATCCTACCGCCAGGGACCTTGGTGGTAGACTGTTATACCATACCGTCATGATCCCTGACGGTAGCAAAAGGGTTAGATCTAAAAAAAATTAAACTAAAATCAAATCTCAAATAAGTTTAAAAAAAGTCAAAACACGAAATTTAGCCGCGGCCGGCAGCCAGCCGTATGTGCATGTATGACGTCGCCGGCCGGAGCTGCATGCACGCAGCCGCTTTTATGTGTCAACCTGTGATTAAGGGAAGTGCTTGCCTTGCCCGCTAGACACGTGTGTGATGACCGTTTTCTTTCTCTACAGAAATTAATAAGTACATTTAATATATTTTTCGGTGACATACGTAAGCTGCCTTAAAAAATTGACGTCACTTGATATTCCAACTTCCTGGATTCAGTTCAATGGCTGGGCGTGGTCTCCTTGTTCCACCATCTATAATCGGACCCTTCAAATTTCTCAAAAAAAAATCAGACCCCTCAAATTGTTAGGGTATGTCCGCGCAGACGGCCAGTCATTGATCGGTCAAAAAACTCAATTCAGTTAGACCCATCAAACAACCCCTCTACGTTCGGGTTGTCCGGCAAGGGCACCTCACAAACACAACCCATATCCGGGGTGGATATGAAGAGTTTCTGGCGCGTCTGGGCGCGTCTGCCACATCGGATTCGGCACCACCGGCCAACCCCAACCCCACAAATATCCCCTCCTTTCCGTATGTGGATTAAACCCTAGCGACTCCAGTATTTTGAACATGCCAATTTCTGATAGTCCGATGGCGTGTATGAACTGTCCCTATGATATGTGTGTGATCTTGATGACCTACGTGTGCTTTATTTATACGTTGCATGAGAATGTATGGGTTTGAGGATTTCAGGGGTGATATTTGATGGGTCAGCTGTAGATGCTCTTAGAAAACTGACGGCCTATTAGAAGCTAGTGGGCCTGAATTGACCACCTCTCATCCCTTTGGACAAACGTTTTCGAACTTAACTTAAAGTGAACACTTATCCTTCACCCCATATCTCTTTTATTAAAGGGGAGTTGATGATTGTACGCTCGCATATCCCTCTCCCCCTGACCCCATTCTCATGTCCTGCATTAACTCAATTAATTCAAAACATATTTTATCAAAACATCAACTAAATTAAACTTTATTTGCCTTCTCTTACCCATACCCAAATCAAATCTTATCAAAATCTCCACTAAATCAAAATTTTCCTTGCTTTCCCCTATCCATACTCAAATCAAACCTAATCTTACCAAAATCTAGAATACGACGCGTGTAAGATTATGTCAGACACAGTTGACGTTGAACCACTAGAATATATATGCCCCCATTACAATGCACATATAATTAGCTAGTAGTTATATAAATAGGAGGGCGTCCTTTTTGTATGTACAATTGATGAATCCTAAGTAAAGAGGTCTGCAACCATAATTCTCTGTGTCAATTTTACTTTAAGAAACACTGGTAATCAATAATATGATTAGAAGCTCACATTGGACCACATGACTACCGTCGATTCTAGCATAATCTCATGGCCGACATATCACCATTTTGGCCCGCTGCTAACCGCTCGCATATCACGCACCCCTAATTACTCTCTTGTTTATTGACTAGGACGTCGTTCATCTCTCCTGCCTTGCACACACCTCCGCCTACGGCCCTATCTTGTCGTCAACCCCACCACCAATGTACTCTTCAATTACGCACCTAGTTTCCATCTACTCCCTCCGTCCGAAAATAAGTGTCTCGACTTAGTATAAAGTTCAGACACTTATTTTTGGACGGAGGGAGTACTACACACCCTGCTTCTTTCACAACTCATTGAAAACCACACGATCCACCCTCTCTACCTAGATTTGATCCCCTGCCATTCCCACTCCATCTACCACACCATCGATGGCCCCTAAGGGGGACCTGGTGTTGCACCATGTCAGCACTAGGAGGGAATGCCCACCATCTCCTCCCCTTTTGGTGCTTCACCAGGTTACCAGAGGTTCAACCTACTATCGGTGTAGCACTCTTTCACCAGAGAACAAGCAAATGCTTCTCCATTCATATTTCCCTCTTTGAAGCCCCTCCTCAGAATATAAAGTATCGCACTCCATCACCCCCCCTGATTCCATCACCTCATGTCCCTTGTTCATATTATTCTCAATTTAATGATCTTTAATTCCAGCATTACAATTAGGTATCTAATACAATGTGTGATTAATATTCATTGGTACATATGTTCATTGTGCGCTAAGTATTAACTATTGTTGGTGTGAAAATCGTTCTATCAATGCATTCCATCATTAGGTCAACAAGAATTTTAATTGTTTTAGGTTTTTAGACTACCCGGACTTGCATAGCCACTCCCTCCATTCCAAAATAAGTGTCGTGGGTTTCCTTCAAATTTGAACTAAAACCACGACAGTTATTTTGTAGAGGGAGTAGCTGTTAGTTTCTAGTTTCAAATTTGAATGCTTCCAATAAAGCTAAGAATTATTGATATGGAAACATGCTTCTTATATATGGAGCTTCCAAAGTGTGCTGCAATTGTATAGATAGTTTTTGCTGCAGATACTTCAACTCACTTGTTGAATTTCCAGTATAGTTGCAGAAACATGAACCTACATGTCGGTGCGTACTTTGTTTAATTTCCATTTCAAAATTTAATGCTTCCAGTTAAATAGGTTCATTGTGACATAGCACACTGCAAAGTGCATCATACTAACTAATTCTACACCCAGAGCACTCTTTCCATGCTTCATATTCAAGCTTGTTCTAATTTTAAATTTGTATGCTTGCAACTAACACAATACCTAGTTATCCTCGTTATTGGTTTTGTACTCTTTTCTCATTACCATATTTTGAGTCCACGTGACTAACACCTTAGCCACTATATTTGGCTAAGAGATAATGGACACTGTAATACTGAATGGTCCCAATGTGTATCTCTCCATCGTCGGAGGAGCAAGTCTTGGTCTTGGCATATCGAACACGACAACATACTTTCTTGGTATAACCGAAAGCTACCATTCTAGTCACCCAGTTAAGGATTGATGTTTAGCAACCTCAAAGTAACCATGTGGAATCCGGTTATATGATATTCTCATGGTCTATGGACACAAGTAAATGTAATACCTTACATGAGAATACCGACAACATATTGAGGAGTGATCACACATTATTTCATAAGTTGGGTCCATCCAACACCATTGCTATCATAACAATGTGTACACATTATTCTAGGCGTCCTTGTTACAATAATAATGCCTATGGTTAAGAAAGGAGGCCTCTTAAGAAAGCAGGACTGTAAATAATACATAAGATAGTCCAAAGGCATGACTAGGGGTGTGTTTGGTGTTTATTCTCCCACACATGTTAATAGCTGGCAGACCACGTTTGTTTATGGGAACCCTGAGTTGAGAATCGTCAGTTGATATAGGAACACCTTGCAAATTTACAGGCAGTACAGCATGATCCATGGATTGTTTGTGGCGACTACAATGAAGCACTTGGGCAACACAAACAATTTTCGAGCTCGCTGTGTGCTGAAGGTCAGATGGCTGCCATTCGAGACTGTTTGACGATGTGTGAACTTTAGGACCTGGAATTCTTAGGTGTTCCATCTAGATACGATAATGGGCAGCGGGGCAACCGCAATGTCCGTGTGCAAATGGACAGGGCATGTGTGGATGAAGCTTGGAGGGAGATGTTTTTGCTTGCTAGTGGTAAATCTAGCCACCTTGTGCTCTTACGACTACCCGTCATGGTACACTTTACAACCGACGAGGGGCAACAACATTGCCGACCATTACCATATAGGATCCAACGTCTTTCGGTCGTTACAACGCTAATCATTAAAATTAGCAGCCACACACCACAACATACCACAAGACAAGCAACACCTAGACCAATCCCATGCCAACGGCAATGAGGCAAACCACAGCAACCAACCAACGTTACAACCAACATCGAAAACCTCTACAACATGACAAGACCCGACGACAACACAAAGCAACGTACCCCATCCATTGCATCAAGAGAACGTTGACAAGTGGGTGGCAGGGCATGGGCAGACCTAGACAAGGCGTCGTCAAGAGAGAGCGCCAACGATTATGTACATTGTGCCTGGAAGGCCCATGCGCCAACGATGATGTACATTGCGCCTGGAAGGCCCATGCCCAAAATAGTAGCCCGGAATTCCTCAGATGATAGCTCCAAGAAGGAAACGACGACATGGCAAGGCCACCTCCTGGTCTGAGGGTCAAACCAAAAATTTCCCCCAAGATCATGCCAAAACAACACCTCCAGAGCTCGCGTCGCCGTTGTCAGCTTCGGAATTAAAACTTGTGGGTTATATTGTGGGACGAAGTTCATAGCCCAAGCGCATCGATCGATAGATGGTACACAAGGGTGCTATTCAAACATGAGAAACAAGACATGTACTACTTCATAATTCATATGTTTGGCAGGCTTGCTCAACGATAATGTCAGACAAAATACAGTGCTACTACTGCACATGCATATCCCACCGGCCGCGTGCAACCGTACGTCCCCAACAAGATCCCCAAAAAAACGTTGCAGCGCCCACCAACCGCGTTCCATGCCCTAACACGTACCTACACGTACTACTCACTAGTACTACTAGCTAGTTGTACTGGTACACGCCGTGCTGCCTGTCGGGCCACGACGAGAACGCCGGGGCCGGCGGGACGCCGTTCAGCCGCCACGCCAGGAAGGGCGCGTCGACGGCGCCGGCGTAAGGAAGCGCCTCCTCCGCGTACGGCACGGCACGAGGGGCCGACACGTGCGCCCGCTGCGCGACGTAGCCGCACCCGCCGCCGGCATTGGTCTCCGCCGCGCGGCGCTCCTCCTTCTTGAACCTGATGCCGCAGGCGTTGCAGAGGGACTGCGACAATGTCAGAAGACAAGGAGAGATCAATGTAATGCAAGAACACGATGACAAAGTGGAGAATGCGCGAGGGTGTATGCTTACCTTGGGTCCGCGAGGGCCGTTCCGCCAGAGCGGCGTGGACGCCGTGCCGCAGTTGGCGCAGCGGCGGTCCAGGAGCTGCTCGTGCCCGGCGGCGCCGCCCCTGCCCTGCTGCTGGTGGTAGTAGCAGGGCTCGGCCCCGGCAGACACGGACGGGTAGGCCTGCGGCGGAGCCCCGTGCCTAGTACGGTCTGGCTCGGGGCGGCGCGTCGACGGCGTGCCGAGGGAGAGCGTGCAGTCCACCAGGGATCCCGAGGAAGCAGAGGAGGCCGGGGAGGAAGGGGAGAGGGTGGTGACGGAGCTGTGGTCATCGTAGGAGTAGGCAGCCTCCTCTACAGACGGCCACTGGCCTTTGCTGCTGGGCAGCGGCGGGAAGAAGAGCGAGAAGGTGGAGGTGGCCATGGCGCGGGTGCTTGAGACGCTCTAGTGTCACCTAGCTTGGGCTCTCTGTTACTTAAAGAGAAGAGAAGAGAAGCTGCTAGTAGTAGTGTGACGAGAGGAGGCGAGGAGCTAGCTGGCTTGCTGCGAGCATGGAGAGTGAAGGTGGTGGTGAGCTACTGGAGGTAGGCAGCGGCAGCTAGGATTTATAGGGTGACCGAGATGCGCAAAACTTGATTAGATTTGCATCCATCCGTCTGCTGCTTTGCTTTGCTTTGCTTGCTGGAGTGGTAGTAATCGAGGCGCTGGTTTGCTTTGCTTTGAACAGCAGCCGCCTCGGTCGCATACATGCGTCGCCACTAGCTAGGCTACGCTAGGATGCATGCTCCATGCAATGGAACAAAAGATTGTGCACGACTACAGAGGCAAGGCAAGACCAGCAGAGCAGGCGGCACAGCAGGGCGGCCAATGAGTGCTCGGTTGGACTGGCTGGCTGCGCCGAAGCCAGCCCTGCCGCTCTGCTCCTGTGGATGACAGTCTTGGCTCGGCTCGGGTGGCCGGACGACGGACGTCTCGACGGGAGGTTGGATGGATGGGTGACTGCTCGAAGCAGAGGCCGACGATCTGCCGCGCTTATCCCGGAGCTACAGCGAGCGAGCCCATGCAAGCACGTCGCCTCAAGAATCAAATGAGCGATCACGGAGACGGAGGCAAAGCAAAGATGCTGCCCGGTTGGGAAACTGCCTGCCGGTCGTCCCTCGGCCAGGGGTGTCATATATAGCGACGGCGAGTGACCGTTCCGGCGCTGGTCATTTGACATCATAACAGTATACCGGAGATCCCGCCAGCCAAAGGTACGCATGCATGCCAGAGGGGGCGACGCAGGCGGCGTCCCTGACACTGACAGCCCGGGCCTAGCTAGCTACTAGCACTAGTAGTAGTATCTTGACAGTGGCTTTTGGTTTTAGAACTAGCATTGCCACATCTTACCACACATTTTTGTCAAGCTTGCCTAAGATTAGTTTATCAAAATAAGAGCCACAAGTTGGCAAGCCTAAGGAAATCTTGCCACACTTTTTGTGTGTATGCCATGTGGGGTCTAAGTGTGGCTTGCCTAAGGTGTGACATGAACCAAACACTCACCTAAGTTGGTCAAACTTGTCTAACCTTAGTTATGGCAATTTTTGGCTAAGTTAGTCACAAACCAAACATCCCCACATCTCACTCAGTGGCAGCCATGGCAGCCATGGCTGATGGCCCCGTTGCTTGCTTGGCCCGGGCGCGGTCAAAAGCTAGGTAGAGAGCCATGTGACGGGGCGTGGTGGGATGGAACAGTCTCCCATGCGCATCGCGTCGCCGCCCAGCCCAGCCCAGCGCGCGCGCGGGTCACGAGGAGATCGTTGCCGTGGCACAGGAGCGCGTACCACCGCTGGCTGGCCCTGGTCGCGTCGAGGGGCGTGCGCGACGGAACACGGAATAATTGCGTATTCCCATCTCGTTCGTTCTCGTGTGTCCCGGCGCCGCCTCGGCTTCCCACCGATCGACACGTTGGTACACAGCACTGCTACTCCTACCACAGTTGCGTTTCGCCGGCAAAAAATCGGTACTCCCTCGGACGGACGATATAAAATGTTGGGCACTAGTTTTTGGTGTTAGATTTGATTTAGCATAAAATATAGTGCACAGTATGTCATACAGATATATTTCAAACAGGCTTTTGCCCCGTTTTTATATATAAAGCAATCACCCACAAGATAGAAAGCAAACGATAGAAGATGGTAAGATAACCCTCGTACAATGCCGATGTCAAGAAAACCAGATCACGCAGAACTCGCACGACTACGCCATAAAAAAACATTGAAAAACCAAGGGGCTATTTGGTTGTAGGCCTAACCATGCTACACTTTGTCATACAATGTTGTCACACTTGTCTAAGGTTAGTTTTTTCAAAATGAGAGGCACAAGTTGGCAAGCCTAAGGAAATCTTACCATACTTTTTGAGTGTACTCCCTCCGTCCGGTGAGTGTACTTCTAGCTTCAAAATTTGTCCACAAAAAAGTATACAGTACTACTTCTATCTTCCCAATGCACTTTAAAGTAGGAAAAAATATTTCTCTCTCATCACACAGTAATTAAGACCAATAGCAATCTACACATGGTCTTCTTAATTTTTACATGCACTTAGCTCATTGGAGGGTGAGTAATCAAAGAAGAGAGAGATGGTGGCTTGCACCTTTTCAATGCATTTTTTATCAACTTCATAATTTGTCCTAAAATTTCTAGATGTACACTTTTCATCGGACGGAGGGAGTATGTGACGTGGGACCCTAATGTGGCTTGCCTAAGGTGTGGCTTGAACCAAACACCCATCCAAATTGATCAAACTTGCCTAACCTTAGGTGTGGCAACCTTAGGCAAACGTCCCCAGAAGGGAAAACCAAACAGGCCCTAACTACAATGCCACACAATGCCCTAACACACGAAGCTTCATGAAAACGTCCCCAGAAGGGAAAACGGCGCAAAGCGTCGCCATTGCCGAGTCCAGAAGGGACAATGGTTTTCACCAGGAACCCTAGCACGAAGAGGAGCACCACGACGACATCTTGAGGAAGATAACAACGCCTGCAAGTGTTGTTGGCGACAAAGCACAAAGCTTTCACTCGGAGCTCCTCGTGCCACCACGAGGTCTTCAGGACAAGCGCAGCGAGTTCAGCTCCCCAGGTCCGAATCGGGGCGACGCCAGTGTCAAAGACAGGGAGAGGGCCTAAGCCACCCACCGCTAGCCTCCTGCCAGCCACACAACCAAGATGAAGAGCCACCACCACCACCGACATGGTGCCCACGCGGAGAGCCAACCATGCGGACTGCCATCCGAAGCCGCCGCTCCGGCATCCAGGTCCAAGCCACCACCATTCGTCCACATCACGGAGCACCAACCTTGAAAGGAGGAAAGAAAGGGGTCTCCTTTCATTTCAAGCCCGGCATCAGTCACGGGATCTAGATCCTGCCCCCACAGTAAGGGGGCGTCCACACCTGCTTCCCTAGCCTGTCCCGATGGACTGTGGGGGGGGGGGCACAACCGTGTGACTGCTGACGGCCACCGCTGAGCCCGCTCGCATGATGCCTCAACCGTGGTCACCGACGCCGATCTACCCGACAGATTCATTATCGAGTGAAGTTTCTAAAAATAATTTTTCTTCTGCCATATTGTACATGTTTCCTTAGTTAACTTGATGACCTAAAGTCTCATCCTAGATTTA